TTATGTTAGTTATGGCAGGAAAATTCTCCTGTAGATATAGTTCTCCTGTGGATTTATATGGATATATTTACACATTTATAAATGAACATAATAAATGAATATATATAAAACATACTGAATATCTATGAATATATATATACATATAAATATATAAGATGAATAGATATAATATACTGGATATATGAATATATATATAAATATAAATTTATATACAGCACAGTTTTAGTTCCATGTGCTCTGTAACACTTATTTGAACCTATAAAAATTTCAGCTTCTATAAAGCAGCTCTATATTGACACCTGTGGCCTTGAGCAGCTTTATTACCACTTTATTACAGCTGACTAAGCCAATGTTCTCCTTTCTTAGCAGAGATTTTTTTTTTAAATATTATTTGCCAGCCCTCACCTGATTGCTCACTGCTCTGCCTCCTTTATTCAGCCCTTATCACATGAACCTCAAGCAAACATTACTAAGAGGGATTAAAGGGGCAGCAAAGGCTCTGCTCAGTGTTTGGTCTGGGGAGATGAGTCACACATACAATAAATTGGGAATTACCAAGAGTTGAAGCCCGGCCCTGTGTTCCTTTTTCACCCCAAACCTCCCCAAAACTGTCCCATTCCTCGAGCCACCGGTGGCACCCACTGGTTTTATTTGAGTTCAATTATAAACACATCAGATCAGGACCACCCCACCAAGTCCATCATTCAATGCCTGCTCCAATTCCCTATTTATTTGTGGACAGATTTGATTTCCTTTGAGGAAATCACGCTCTGAGGGACCTGAACTCGGAGCCATCGATCCATATCCCGACCCGTGGGCCACCGACCAACCAGCAGGAACTTCCACTCGCTGCAACCCTCCGTGACTGGGCTGTTGTGCAACACCTTCAGCAAACACTTCCTCATGTAGGAACAAGAATAAAGCTCAGCCAGTCGCTCCCTCTCATTCTCAGCCCAGCCTGGGAACACGACATTCCCGGGCCACGGACACCTCGACATTCCCGGGCCACGGACACCCCACCGGAGCAGCCCAGCTGGGAGCATGAAAATACTCCTCCTTCCTGCCCTTTTCCTGCTTTTTCTCCACCAAGGTACAGCGTTTTTTGGTCTAATCCTTTCTCTGGGCAGAACTCCGGATGGATTTTTAATTATTAACAGGGAGATAATAGGGAAGAACGGGAATTAAAGCCGTTGGAAAACGGCGGGGCTGGAGTTGGGGACGTTTGGGGTTTTCCTCTTTGTGTTCAAATTGATTATGTCAAATTCTTTAGTTGGAGATTTATTTACCTGTTTGCAAACTGGCCAGAAATTGCCTAAAAGCTGGTTAGTTGTATGAGCCACTTGCTAACTTGGTTAGTTCTGTGAGCCACTTGCTAACTTGGTTAGTTCTGTGAACCCTGCAAGTGAGAGGACAATTTATCCACTTGCATCTCCAATTTTGGCCCCAAAAGATTTCTATTTGAACCCAAATAACAACATGACCTGACTTAAAACCTGACTTAAAACCCTACCTTATTATTATGTGGTAGGGCTGGAGTTGGGGGTGTTTGGGGTTTTCCTCTTTGTGTTCAAATTGATTATGTCAAATTCTTTAGTTGGAGATTCATTTACCTGTTTGCAAACTGGCCAGAAATTGCCTAAAAGCCCAGAACTGGTTAGTTCTGTGAGCCACTTGCTAACTTAGTTAGTTGTGTGAACAACTTGCTAACTTGGTTAGTTCTGTGAGCCACTTGTTAACTTGGTTAGTTCTGTGAGCCCTGTAAGTGAGAGGACAATTTATCCACTTGCATCTCCAATTTTGGCCCCAAAAGATTTCTATTTGAACCCAAATAACAACATGACCTGACTTAAAACCTTTAACCCCCTTATTATTGTGTGGCACTTCAGGTTCTGAGTATTCCTGTGCCTTCACCTGAGCAGACCCCACTTTTTTTCCTTTCAATTGTTCCTTTCAATTCATGTCAACAGGGAACAGATTTTTTTGCCAGGGCTTGGCAGGCACAGGCACGGACAGGTTTTAAATCCATAATTAACCATGTCATTTATACTCAGGCAGGTATCTAAATTTGGATGATTTGCACAGAATATCTGGAAATGTGCACGGTGTTTAAGGTGTTATATCTTTTTTTTCCTCATTGCCAGTGCATTCCTCACTAATGATTTTTAGTTTAGGCACTTGGAAAAGCACATAATTATTTCTCCATTATTATACAGTACCAGGCCTAAGGAATTTCTTTCCTCCTGACTCCAGACAGTGCCTGAAGGCAGACAAAGACAATACACTGATTAAAAAACTCCCTCTAAGAAACCATTTGTTCCAGGCCAAAATTAACCAGTTTTCCTCGAAAAGCTGTTTGCATCAGACTGCAGGAAAGGGATAAGTTTAGTCCTGAGTCTTCATTTAAATCCCACTTAAACTTGAACTGGCTGGGCTGGAGTTGGACAAAGGGTGTGAACAGGGAGATAAAACTGGAGAATTCTGTAGCAAGAGGCCTAAAATATCACTGATCCTACTTTATGGTTGTGGAAAGACTTAAGTCTGAAAGCCACAGTTTTTAAAAAGAAATAAATGTAATTATCTGCTTAAAATAAAATACAAAAGATCCCTGGGAATTGCAGGAGTAAAGTTACACTTGGTATTTGCTCTGAGCACGTGCCCAGGGCTCTGTGTAAGAGCTCAGCTCCTGTAAGGTCACTTCTCCACCAGTTTTATCAAGATACAACCCAGTTTATTCTGCAATTACTTTTGGAAAGGGTTTAATCCAACAAACCAGGTGCAAAGATGGAATCTGTTTGTCTGACTGGGACAGTTTGCACGGGGATGTGCTCTGTTGTTCCAGACAAATTACAGGCATCGGGTGCCCCACTCCTGGGAAAACCTGGGCCTGGGGCAGGGAATTAAATCCTCCCTTTGGGGTTTGTGGGGTTAGGTTTGTTTGGGGTTGGTTTTGTATTCAAATGCAGGTTCTTGTGCTCTGAGCCCTCAAGAATTCACGTGAAATGTCCTTTAGTAGGAGATTAAAGACTTCAGGGGCATCTAAAACCTGCTGTTGCCTTGTTAGAAACCAACACAACCAACCCTGTTTTCCCAAAAACCTGGACAGCAGCTGCTCTAATGAACTTCTGGGATGCCAGAATTAAATTCTCTGTGTTGCCCAGCCCTACAAGTGGTGCCCCAAATTAACTTTGGTCGAGATTTATTTGGGTTCAGAGCAGAAAACAAAAAGAAACCCTTTTCCTCAGCTCTGGATTCCCTCCCAGAGTTCTTACAACCACTGTAGACACACAACATGCCTTAAAGACCATGGAAAAGGGTTATAGGAGTTCAGGAATCAGCTGGATTCCTTCCCACCTTCAAAATTTTCCTACTTTAGTGCTATCTCCCATTATTTTACCTGGTTTTGTTCAAAAACCTCCTTTAATCCTTCTGCTGTCACGACTTTGTACCTCCCTCCAATTAAAGAGGTGAAAGTGTCTCTATTATCAAGTTCTGTCACAATTATTTATGGGGGAAGGCTTTCCAAGACAGAAATCCAACCTCATTCCAAACCTCTGCATTGTTCTAAGTTTATTTGCTGATCTCCAGGCAGTCTGGACTTGCCCATCATGTGATAAAGTTTTGGAGATCCCCCTTTTCCCAGAGCTTTATAAATTAATCCCTGTCACCTGCAAAGTGCAGAGGCAGAGGCTGGTCTGGCAGGTTGGGACTTGAACTGCTCAGAGAAGCCCACAGGGAAATATTTGGACACCTGGAAGCAGCCAGGTGGGGCAATTCATCCCAAATCCAGGTGGGAAAATTCATCCCAAAATCCAGGTTGGAACAACCCTCTGGTGTCGGGTCGCCACGGACCCCTGAGCACGAGGCATGAGAGGTGCAAGAGCCCCAAAAAATCAGCCTTGAGAGGCAGGAAATGAGGTGTTTGAGAAGTTAACGCTGTGTTTTCCTAAATATCCATCTGTTTGTCCCCAGGGAGCAGGAGCAGGGAGTTACCTGGAGTGGAGAGCTATGAAATAGTTTATCCACGGAAGTTGCGCTCGGTGCAGAAAAGGAGCACCCAGGTATCAGAAGGGAGATATTTTATGTTCCTGGGAGATGGGGAAGGGATTCTGGAGTCACAGTACCCCTGGTTTTTAAGGGCAAGGGACTTTGGAGCCAGAGAGTTGATCTTCCAAAAGGAAATGAAAGAGAAAACCTGGAAAAGTGATGCCAGGAGCTGCGAGGTGGGGCATGTGCAGTGACCAGCAGTGGGTCTTTTAGGACCTGAATCTCTGCAAAGGTGTTGGCTTTGACACCACTCAGGTTTTTAATAACCTCCAGACAATTTATTTTGAAGCTTAAAAGCACTTAAAAGTCTTCAGCACTTCCAGAGGGTGTTATGGAAGTGTTTAAACCTCAGCATCCACCCCAGCAGTGACCAGCAGTGGGTGTTTTAGGACCTGAATCTCTGCAAAGATGTTGGCTTTGACACCACTCAAAAATTTAATAACCTCCAGACAATTTATTTTGAAGCTTAAGAGCACTTAAAAGTCTTCAGCACTTCCAGAGGGTGTTATGGAAGTGTTTAAACCTCAGCATCCACCCCAGCACTTCCCCAAACATGCTTAGGACGGTAAAAATGAATTTGCAAAGTTAAATTTCTTCCTCTGAGTAAAAAAAAATACGAGACAGAAGTGACCTCCTGCTTATTGTGTTGCTGCCAGAGCACTTGTTTTTGGTGGGAAGAGGAGGAAAAGAGCACAGCTGGCAGGTCAATGAGTTGTAGCAGAGCACAGTTTAACACTTCAATCTGTTTGCAGACCAAATATGTTGACAAGGTGGAGTATGGAATCAGAGCCAACGGCCAGGAAGTCGTCCTGCAGCTACAAAAAAATAAGTAGGTTGGGTTCAACTCTTTCCTCGGGTGTTTTTCCTGCCTCTGAATGGCTGTGGGGTGTTCAGGATACAAAAAACCCCAGGATTTAGGCCCCTGTAAAATGGGGGTGTTGGGGTAAAACCAACTTTTCCAGAAGAAAAGGGGAGAGAAGAATCATGGCTCTGCTTTGGGAACATGAAATAAGGACTTGGCCACGAGGCATCGCCGTGGTGGAGTGACTTGCCTGTACCTCTGCTCTCCCAGTTGTTTCCTAAAGGGCCAAATCCCTGAAAGTTTAATGTTTCTATGGTATTCCAGGAGTTTTCTGGGACCATGAATGGTCAGGGGGTTATAAACTCGCAGCATGTAGTGACAGGACAAGGGGGAGTGGTTTTAAACTGGGACAGAGCAGGTTTAAATTAGATATTGGGAAGGAATTCCTGCCTGGGAGGGTGGGGAGGAGCTGGGATGGAATTCCAAGAGAAGCTGTGGCTGCCCCTGGATCCCTGGAAGTGCCCAAGGCCAGGTTGGAGCAACCTGGGCTGGTGGAAGGTGTCCCTGCCCATGGCAGGGGTGGAATTAATTGGTCATTAAGGTCCCTTCCAACCCAAACCACTCTGGGATGCTGGGATAGATTTGTTGATGTTGGAGGTATTTTCCATCCTATGCTTCCATATTTAAATATCTCTATAGTAGAGAGATAGAGAGAGATATTTACCTGAACACTACTGCTATTGGACTTGGAATAATCTAATATATTCTGGCATTGATAAGGTGCTTCCTGGCAGTGGAAAATTGGGAAAATTCTCCTCCTTGGCTGCAGGAACAAGCATGGAAAGAGGCCATGCAGAGGGTACAGAAGGGCAGGGGGCTTTGTCACACAAGGAGGAGCCCAAAATTGCACAGAACAGCCCAGAATAAAGCTCAGCTGGGATTTTCTGGCTCCACCAGAACACTGAACATGCAATCAGACAAGTCTGCATTAATAAGTGCTGTGTAAATACAACAGCACCATAATCAATTCACCTTAAATATAGACTGTAATTAACTGCTTGCCCCTGTTTTAATCTAATCTAAATATTTGGAGTGGGGAGAGGGAAAATATACTGTAATAAATCCCTTCCTTTGAGGAAGAGAAGTGGGACTGTGGCAGTTTGGGGCAGTTGCCCAAACAGAAGTGAGGCAGATTTTAGACAGATGCATAAAAGGCCAAAAAAAAAAGGATCAATATGTAATTATACATTTGCATTCGGATCTGCTGGGAGATTAGTTCAGAGCAATGAAATAAGTGGATTTTAATTGCCTTCTTCTCCTCGAGAAGTGTCCCTTTGTTTGAGGAAGGCCCAGGACCAGGCAGAATTCCCCACCCCGCAGCTCTGCTCGCCGAGTTTTTTCGATACTAATAATAACCTGAGCAATTGTTTGAATTCCCCACGTGCTTGGTGTGTTGTGTAATCACCTCATTCCCAGGTGGCTACAATTTCTTTGGAATAAGAACTGCACTTGGCTCTTTGCAGGGATCTTTTAGGTCGAGATTACACCGAAACTGTTTATTCGGATGACGGTCGACAAATAACAAGAACTCCTCGGATCAAGGTGAGAAAGGAAGGCTTTTTCCCCATATATTTACAGTCCTGAGGTCCACATGAGATTCCTGAGGCTGTGAAATAATAGGAGATATAAGACAGAAAGGAAAGATTTTAAATCAAGCTCCTAAGCCTGTAATTTAGGATGTGTCTGAAGGGACAGGGAAGAGACACGGATTTATCCTGTTCTTGGATTCAGGGAAGAGGGAGGAGATCATTAATACCCTGGTGGTGTTTTTCTGGGTGATTTGGGCCATTCACTGAAGAGTTGGACTCGATGGTCCTGGTGGGTCCTTTCCAACTGGGAAAATTCTGGGAAGAAGGGACTTGTGGCTTGGGCAGAGCTGAGCCTGGTTTGTTCCCGTGGGGACTCAGCCCCACAGGAAGACACCACCTCTCCCTCAGTGCTGCTGAACAGCCTGTGAGTCAAACCTCTCCCTCCTGGCAGGACAGGGAGTGGAGCCAAGGCCATCCCACTGCTTCCAACCTGCCTGTTTGCCCTCCTGCCCCTCTCACAGCCCGCTCCCGGGGAGATCAGAGGTTGGGATAAACCCCATTTCCTCCGGGCTCACCTTCCCACCCACGCTCAGCAGATGCACTCAGGTCACTCCAGGTGCTTTCTCTGATCTGTGACAAATCAGTTCTTCCACCCAGACACAAAGGGAGTCACCACAGAAAGGATTTTTTAGTTAACTCTGCCCTCCTCAGGGAATTAACTCTTCACTCCTCGGGAATTAACTCTTCACTCCTCGGGAATTAACTCTGCCCTCCTCGGGAATTAACTCTGCACTCCTTGGGAATTAACTCTGCCCTCCTCGGGCTGATCTTCCGCCTGCAGCTCCTTTTCCCAGCTCATTCCATGTGTTTTAACACCCAGGATTTGGAATCCAAAGCCTCGTTTTCTTTGTCAGCAGGATCAGGAGGATCTCGAGTGAAATAAATGAAAGAATTCTGGGTTGGGGTTTTTTTTGGGGGGGAAAAAAAAGCCATTTCTCATTGCTCCAATGATTTTTCCTAAATAGATCCTGGGAAAAGCAAACATCACCTAAATGTGGATAAAGACAAACTCAATCAGGCCTATCTGTGCTGAACAGGGAATTCCTATTTTTCTCTTAAATCCTCCAGTGATGGGGATAAATCCTCCCCTTTCCCCCAGTGATTTTCTCTTTCTCCCTGTAAGAAAGTTGGCACCTTGTGGTGGAAGGAAGACAAATAAAGGGTAAAAGTGAACCCAAAGATCCAGGAGCAAACAAAAGGCATGAGTCAGGAAGGTTTGGGGCTGTGTTCTTAAAGAATCCATTCAGGAAAATGTTATAGGTAACATTTTCCACAGTCCCTCGGTGACTTTGAAGTCTCTTTGAAGACAGAAATGTAAACCTGAGATCCTTAAGCCAATTAAGTCACAAAACTCTTTCCCCTAATCATATATTTAACATTTTAATCTCATTGAAGTTAATTGCTGGGTTATTAAACAGTGTTGCCTTGAAGTTTGGCTGCAATAAAATCATTTGGTGTGGACTTTAATTCAGCAGTTTGTGCTTAATTTGGAGCAGTGTGTGCCCATATACTTATTTTTATGTGCTCTTGTGTACTGACCAGATCCCACCACGATTGGTTGGTCACAATTTGGCTCCCTCTGTGTTGAAGGATAAAAATAATGGTTAGGGAAGAAGTTTTTAATTCCTTTTGAGACCCTCCTAATGGGAGATTTCAGCCAGGGCAGTTTATTGTAGTTTGTCTTTTGAAATCACTGGATCCAAGCCAGTTGGGTCAATGGGCCCAGGCCCAGTGTGACACTGGATTTTCCTTTTCCCAACAGGATCACTGTTTTTATGAAGGCCACGTTCAGGATGATGCTGAGTCCACAGTGAGCATCAGCACCTGCCAAGGGCTCAGGTAAGGGCAGCTTTGCCTCCCAAAGGCACAACGGGAACGTTCTGGGATAAATTCTCCATATAAAAAGAATCAGAGGGAAATAAGGGAAATGTGATCTTTTATTCCTGCTGACAAGGAAACCACTTTACTAAAGAAGCAGGGAAAGAAGGGGGGGGGGGGGGGAAGTTCCTCAGTTCCTTACGATATTTCAGCTTTTCTTCTCACCTTTAAATTCCTCACTGAACCAAAATTCACTTCTCAACCCCCTCTGTTAGCACAAACCCCAACAACTGAAATCAAATTAATTCCTACACCAGCTTCTTTTCACGGCCAGTCTCCTCCTCAGAGACTTCACTGACCACCCAAATCTTCCAGCTGAGTCGGCAGCTTTAATTCCTGATTTAAATTTGCACTGGCTGAAGGCTGCCAGAATATTCCATGCTTGGGATAAACGCTCTGGAGATGCTGTTGCTCTCTTGATTAAAAGAAAAATCCCAGTGCAGCTCCTTTTTTCAGTGGCTATTTTGAGAGCCGTGGCCAGAGGTACCTCATCGAGCCCCTGGGGGGCTGGGAGGGAGCAGAACACGCCGTTTATAAATACGAGGCACTGAAACAAGAGCCCATCAAAACCTGTGGCCTCGCCAACAACTCCTGGGAACAGGATTCCGACGACCCCACCAACGACATCTTCAAATCCAGCAACAGCCCCGAGGTAAGGACAGGGCTAAACACAGAGTGAAGGGGTTAAAAACTTGAATTTGAGGAGCCCAAACCCCACTTTGGCTGCTCGTCGCATCAGAGTTTAAAAGAATCAGCACAAAAATCTTCCAGATCTGAGATTTCAGAGTCACCACCCGAGTTAAACCCTCCTGCCTTTACCAACAGGTGCACCTTTGCACACCTAAACACTTCTTTAATGTCCAGCAGACCCTTCACAATCTTAATAATTTTAATATCTAACCTGCTTCTGGTCTTTTAAAAACGTGCCAGTCCCACTCTAAATGACTTGGCCAAAGAAACACCTCCAAGAATTAATAGATAGGTTTGCAGTTGCAAAGACTGAGGCTAAAGCAGGTCATTTAAATCTATTATTTCTTTAGATGAAAGAGTACCTGAAAGCCAAAAAATACCTGGAGCTCTACATAGTTGCAGACAACACTCTGGTGAGTATTGGAATTGTTCTTTTCCCAGGAGAGGTATTGCTTGTATCCCTGGGCTCCTGCTTTTCCAACTGCTGAGCTTGGGGGGGAAAAGGGGTTCCTAAAATGGGTTTATTTTCAAAATGAGAATGAAGAGAATTCAGAAAACCCCTAAAGTGCCTAAAAATCTTGAGCTGGAAGGGACCCACACAAGGATCGTGGAGTCCAAGCTCTTCTCTACATCCTGCACTTTAAAACACATCTTGAAACACCTTGTTTGTTAAAATACTACATTAAAAAGAGAATTTCTCATCAAGTAGCCCAGGCATGGGGTGGTTTGCAGCACAACTGATTTTCTGGTCAATCCCTTTTCCCCCCTCTCCTTTTCCTGACGTTCTGTATTTACATTTTAGTACCAGAACCACGACAAAGATGTCAAAGCCATCAGGCAGAGGGTGTTTGGAATTGTCAACTACGTCAACACGGTAGGAGCAAACCACTGACATCAAAATCCAAATTTTTCCTGTTGCAAACAACACAAATGTTCATTATTTTATGTAGTAATGAATGAAAACTCAAGTGCATCGTAATTTAAGGAGGAAATTTAACACTTAATAGGAAATTATCCTGTTCTTTGCCTTTGGATATGAGATTTTTATAAAGAAGGATTTATACTGAACTTTCTTATCACTTGTTAAAATGAATGACTGAAAAAAAAGAATCATAGAATCATGGAATCATGGAATCATGGAATCATAGAATCAACTGGGTTGGAAGGGACCTCCGAGATCATCAAGTCCAACCCTTGATCCACTGCCATGGCACTAAGAATAAACTGATCCTTGATTTCTTTTGCAAGCCAGACTTCTTCCAAACTCGCTGGAATTTTCCAGGAGTTTAGAGCCATTTTTAAAGTTGATTTGGATGTGATTTCCTGGTTGGTTGGTGGGGGTTCTGTGGGTGGAAAAGAGCCATTTTTAAAGTTGATTTGAATGTGATTTCATGGCTGGATGGTGGGGGTTTTGTGGGTGGAAAAGGTTCAGGGGGACGACGCTGCGAGCGAGGGAAGGGGAGAGGGTTTGGTTCTGAGTGAGGGAAGGGGAGAGGGTTTGGTTCCGAGTGAGGGAAGGGGAGAGGGTTTGGTTCTGAGTGAGGGAAGGGGAGAGGGTTTGGTTCTGAGTGAGGGAAGGGGAGAGGGTTTGGTTCTGAGTGAGGGAAAGGGAGAGGGTTTGGTTCTGAGTGAGGGAAGGGGAGAGGGTTTGGTTCTGAGTGAGGGAAGGGGAGAGGGTTTGGGGTCTGAGTGAGGGAAGGGGAGAGGGTTTGGGGTCTGAGTGAGGGAAGGGGAAAGGGTTTGGGGTCTGAGTGAGGGAAGGGGAGAGGGTTTGGTTCTGAGTGAGGGAAAGGGAGAGGGTTTGGTTCTGAGTGAGGGAAAGGGAGAGGGTTTTTGGTATCTGCGTGCGTTCCTGGGTGCGGAGGTTTTATGTTTCTGCGTGCAGGAAGGGGCGCAGGGTTTTGGTTCTTGCGTGCGGCACGTGGAGAGGGTTTGGTTTCTGCTTGCGTTTCATCAGGGCGACCGGGTTTTGGTTTTGGTTCTGCGTGCGTCCGGGGAGATGTTTGGTTCTGCGTGCGGGAAGGGGAGACGGGGTTGGATTCTGAGTGCGGGAAGGAAGAGGTTTGGTTCTGAGTGAGGGACGCTCACTTCCCGAATATAGGCAAAGGGAGGGGCGGCGCGGGGCGGGGGACGGCTGAGAGGATAGGGAGAGGGTTTTGCTCGCTAGCAGTCTCTAGGCTCGTGTCTTGCTGTTTGGGGTCTGAGTGAGGGAAGGGGAAAGGGTTTGGGGTCTGAGTGAGGGAAGGGGAGAGGGTTTGGTTCTGAGTGAGGGAAAGGGAGAGGGTTTGGTTCTGAGTGAGGGAAAGGGAGAGGGTTTGGTTCTGAGTGAGGGAAGGGGAGAGGGTTTGGTTTGGGGTCTGAGTTTTTTTGAGCTGAGTGTCTGTGCAGGTTTCCAAGGCCGGAGATTTTTAAGCTGAGTGTTGGTGCAGGTTTCCAAGGCTGGAGTTTTTTTAAGCTGAGTGTTGGTGCAGGTTTACAAGGCTGGAGGTTTTTTGAGCTGAGTGTTGGTGCAGGTTTACAAGGCCCTCAATATCCACGTGGCTCTGGTGGGGCTGGAGGTGTGGACGGACGGGGACAAGCGGCCCCTGAGCAGGAACGCGGGGATCACCCTGGACACCTTCTCCAAGTGGCGCCGCTCCGACCTGCTCAAGAGGAAGGGCAACGACAACGCCCAGCTCATCACGTGGGTGCCTCGATCCCAAACCCTTCAGTCCCGAAAAATTAGCTGTGGGTGCTTCTTGATCCCAAACCCCTTCATTCCCTAAAAATTACCCTATAACCAGCCATGGTGCCTCTTCATCCCAAACCTCTTTATTCCCTAAAAATTAGCCTATAACCAGCCGTGGGTGCCTCTCCATCCCAAACCCTTCATTCCCTAAAAATTACCCTATAACCAGCCATGGGTGCCTCGATCCCAAACCCCGTCATTCCCGAAAAATTAGCCTATAACCAGCCGTGGGTGCCTCTATCCCAAACCTCTTTATTCCCTAAAAATTACCCTATAACCAGCCGTGGGTGCCTCTCCATCCCAAACCTCTTTATTCCCTAAAAATCAGCCTATAACCAGCCATGGGTGCCTCTATCCCAAACCCTTCAGTCCCTAAAAATTAGCTGTGGGTGCTTCTTGATCCCAAACCCCTTCATTCCCTAAAAATTAGCCTATAACCAGCCGTGGGTGCCTCTTGATCCCAAACCCCTTTATTCCCTAAAAATTAGCCTATAACCAGCCATGGGTGCCTCTCCATCCCAAACCCCTTTATTCCCTAAAAATTAGCCTATAACCAGCCGTGGGTGCCTCTATCCCAAACCTCTTTATTCCCTAAAAATTACCCTATAACCAGCCGTGGGTGCCTCTTGATTCCAAACCCTTCATTCCCTATATATAAATATATATGCATTATATATTATATTACAATATATAATACATATATTTATATAATACATATATTTTATATGTATAAATATATATATAAATAATATATTTATATATTATATCTTTCATAATTTATTTTTTTTATCTTTTCCTTCTTTTCTGTCCCATCCCTGACCCCCCTCTGGTTCCTTCTCCTTCCCAGGGGCCTCAACTTCGAGGGGACCACGATTGGCTTGGCCTTCCTCAAGTCCATCTGCAGTAATTTGTATTCCGCAGGGGTTATTCAGGTCGGATGGAGATTTATTTTATTTCTTTCAAAGCCTTTCATATATTTATATTTATATTTATATTTATATTTATATTTATATTTATATTTATACTTATATTTATATTTATATTTATATTTATATTTATATTTATATTTATATTTATATTTATATTTATATTTATATTTATATTTATATTTATATTTATATTTATTCTAGATATATCTATACAGATATATCTCTATATATTCTATTTGTATCTCTATTCTATCTATATTTATATTATATTTATTCTAGCTATACCTATATAGATATATCTATATATATTCCATCTATATTCTATTTATTCTAGATATATCTCTATAGATATATCTCTATAGATAATCTCTATATATTCTATTTATACCTATATTCTATTTATACCTCTATTCTATCTATATTCTATTTATTCTAGATATATCTCTATAGATATAACTATATATTTTTTATTTATACCTATAAGCTATTTATATCTCAATTTTATTTATTCTAGATATATCTATATAGACATATCTCTATATATTCTATCTATATTCTATTTGTATCTCTATTCTATTTACTATATATATATATATATCCCTATAGATATATCTCTATAGATAATCTCTATATACTCTATTTATATCTATATTCCATTTATATTTATATTTATTCTAGATATATCTATTCTATTTATTCTACATACATCTCTATAGATATATCTCTATTCTATCTTTATCTATATTTTATTTATTCTAGATACATCTCTATAGATATGTCTCTATTCTATCTATATCTATATTCTATTTATTCTAGATACATCTCTATAGATATGTCTCTATCTATTCTATCTATATCTATATTCTATTTATTCTAGATACATCTATATAGATATATCTCTACATATTCTATTTATATATTTATTCTATTTATATTTATTCTAGGTAGATCTATATAGATATATCTCTATATATTCTATTTATATCTCTATTCTATTTATTCTAGGTAGATCTCTATAGATATATCTCTATCTATCCTATCTATATCTCTATTCTATTTATTCTAGGTAGATCTATATAGATATATCTCTACATATTCTATTTATATATTTATTCTATTTATATCTATTCTAGGTAGATCTCTATAGATATATCTCTATCTATTCTATCTATATCTATATTCTATTTATTCTACCTATATCTCCATAGATATCTATATTCTATTTCTATTCCTTTTAGCCAATCTCTGTAGATCTCTAGAACAGCTGCCCCCAGGGCTGGAGCCCCCCGGGGCGCAGCAGTGCCACAATTCCATGGGATCCAAAGCGCCCTTTATTCCCTTCCCTGCCGTTCTCCTTGTTCCCAAGCCCTGCCACCGAGCCCTTGTCCCCGCAGGACCACAGCGGGAACGTCATCGCCGTGGGGGCCACCCTGGCCCACGAGCTGGGGCACAACCTGGGCATGAGCCACGACACGAGGGCCTGCGCGTGCGGGGACAGCGTCTGCATCATGACAGACACCGTCAGGTCAGGGGCACACGGCGGCTGGGGAAAGGGGGCCGGGCGCCAAAAACCGAAATCAAAAAAAATCAAACCGAAATCAAAATCAAAATTTGATTTGGAGCAAAAATCAAAAGAGCTTTGGCCTCTGAGATGATGCCATTCGAAATATTAAAAAAAAAAAAAAAAAGGAGAAAAAT